CTAAGTTATGGAAAGCTCAGTATAGCCTGAATGAACTCAAAAGAGTCTAAGACTAGTAGCATTAGAAGAGATGGAATGCTGCCCTGGTAATAGAATATGGGTGCAATTGTGATAGATAAAGGATGATGTTTGGGCCTTCAATTATGTAATGATTTGATGAATTGTAAAGGATTAAAATACCCTCATAAGGAGAATCACATTGGGATGCTACAAAATACGGTTATGGAAGTATAGTATCGCCCCTAGGTAGATCATTCTAATTACTCCAGATGTCCCCGATGAGAGGCGAGCCCTAGCTGTAGTGTTACATAAGAAGTTTCAAGTTATCAGTGGTATATTGTAAATCAATATTGAGGTGAATCAACAATGGATGGACAAAAGTCACAAAGTATGAGATGAGATTAGGCCGTCATTCTTAAGATGAACAGTAATGAGGAAGCATTAAAAGACCTAGATTTATACATATGGGATAAGCAACAAGAGTAAGCTGGAATTTGGTAGCAGACCTCAACAACGATAAATCGAAGTAAGAGTTATGGTATAGTATGACTGCCTAAATGCAGTAATGTCATACGGATGGATAACCGGGTCTATGCAATAAGATATAGAAATATTCAAAAAATCAACAAAGTACCGAGCGAAGAACTTTAGTATACCTATAGATGCCCAGAGGGACATCTTATCAAGCTCGGTATATGTTTACAAAGTGGGGGCTAGAGATTGGCTAAAAACTGGAGGAAAAGGAGAGAAGAGTCACATAGACGCACTTACAAAGTCAGAGTCGTATAGACTGCATGATAAAAGGTACCAACAGTCACAAGATTGGAAAGATTCCGACCATAAGTCATGGTGTGAGAAAGCGGCTTAAAGGGGGGAATGCCCTGGCCTTTGAATTTATTCACAGAACAGTTACCTAGATGGCAAGGAGAGTACTAAAGTATTCAAAAGACATAAGTTACGAAAATGATAAGTGAATCAGTCAACATTCGAGGACAAATGACAAAGGGGGGAATGATGTTATACCCCATATTTTCGTACATGAAAGTACGATATAAATAAATTTATGAAAGCTCGGAAATGGGATATCACATCTCGCATTTTCGTACGTTAATGTTTCGTCATAAGGTAATCGATGTAAGTTCGGCAATGGGATTATTTTGAGATTATAAGCATTATGCTATTTCAAACACCTGATGAGTAAATTTATGAAGGAAAACGGGTAAGCAAATCGAAGAAAAGGAATTTCGTCAAAGTTTGATATTTTGGGATTAAATACGGTCAAAGCGATGATACCCAGTATTTATGAACTAGTGTCATACAAGGTACCACATGATCAGAATAGTAAGGTGTGCAAAGTATATTAAAAGTGAGTAGTATTTTAAGTAACTTGAGATAATTCCTAATTATGTGGATAAGTGGGTAATTATTGATTTTAGTAGGAGATTAACAATTAACTAAGTAATTAAGTGGATAAATTTGGATAAGACTAACCCCCTCCCCAACGTGGTAGCAAACCCATCCCTAATAAATGACTCATAATGTCATATGGTAATGTGGAAAAGTTTGAGAACTCTTTGGTTAATGTATTAGAAATAATCTATATAATATTCTATAACTTAAAAGATATGTTTGATCTTAAAAATCGATAAATCTTTTACCAATAAAAATCTTGATTCATAGACTTACTTAAGCTCAAAAATTTCAAGAATCACCTTATTCACTACAAGACTTCTAATTCAAAAAGGAACGTGAATTAGCATTTAGCATGCATATTTTGCGCAAAGAATGTCATACAAAGTTACAATGCGTAATAGCAAAGGGATTTGCAATTCTAAGAGAGCACGGTGCAATCTTTCTCAAGAATATCATACGGATTTTTCCTACTCTGGTCTTGCCGTCACGTGTTTTGTCGCAATTGTCGTATGTTAGATGGGATTGTCCGGAGAACTGGCTCAGGTATGTTAAGGCTATCCCTTCTTTCCTTTTGGCGTGATCCAAACAATACAAATGAAACGAGCAAAATACGCAACTTTCATAAATGACTCTATTCATATAAATACTAGGGGTGTCTATATTCTTGATTTCCCACGTGAATTATTATTATATCTTCTGTTCATGGGTCTCAGAAAAATACGTATTTGATAAAGTATCCGAAAGACATATTGATTTTTATGACATTCCGAGAAATCTTATTAAAGTAATTCTTATGCATTTCATGCATTTATACATGTGCATTGACCCATGACCAGATGGCGTTATATACGCGTATATTATATGTATATGGGATATAGGAAAAGGTTATGGCGTTATATACGCACCACCACCTGATCAGCTGGTATACGTTGATGATTTGCCAATAGTGGCCGAAATGATATAATGGGATGCCCTTAGAGGCTTGATGATGTTATGAACGTATATACCAATGCATGGTATGACATTTATAAGCATATGCATGACATTATAAAAATAAAATGATTCACAGAGCTATGCAGACGTACATGTCGAGTCTTTTATTCCATGTTTCTCTCATGTCAATTATTTACTGATTTTCGTTCCTTATATACTCGGTACATTATTTGTACTGACATCCCATTTGCCTGGGGACGCTGCGTTTCATGCCTACAGGTCTCGATAGACAGGTCGAGAGTCCTCCAAGTAGGCGATTAGCTCAGCGGAAGATGTTGGTACACTCCATTTGTTCCGTAGTTGCTTGTGAGGTCAGTATGATTAGGACATGTATTGATTAGTATGGCGGGGCCCTATCCCGACCTTTATGACATTTATGTACTCTTAGAGGCTTGTAGACATATGTCGTGTACGTGAAAGATTGTACGCCCTTGTCGGCCTATATTTTGAGTTTATAAATGATGATGTTGGCCTATTAGGCCTGTATGTCACGTGTATATGATGATGTAATAAAAAGATACGTTAAATTGGTACTCGGTTGAGTAAGGTACTGGGTGCCCGTCGCGGCCCATTGGTTTGGGTCGTGACACATTTCTTGATCAAATGTTGGATAGGTTAGCCGGACGTGCTTATTATTGATTCTTGGATGGATATTCCGGATATAACCAGATTCTTATTGCACCTGAAGACCAAGAGAAGACCACCTTCACTTGTCCATATGGCACTTTTGCATTCTCGCGGATGCCATTCGGGTTATGCAATGCACCGGCAACCTTTTAGCAGTGTATGATGTCCATATTCACCAATATGGTGGGGGACTTTCTCGAGGTTTTCATGGATGATTTTTCTGTCCTGGGGGATTCTTTTGAAGAGTGCTTGGATAACTTGGATAAGGTATTGGCACGTTGTGAAGAAACTAACTTGGTGCTAAATTGGGAGAAGTGTCACTTTACGGTCAACGAGGGCATTGTCCTCGGTCACATGATTTCCAAGAATGGTATTGAGGTTGATAAAGCAAAAATATAAGTGATATCCAAACTCCCTCCCCTACTTCCGTAAAGGGAGTGAGAAGCTTTCTAGGTCATGCGGGGTTTTACCGCCGATTCATCAAGGACTTTTCTAAGGTGGTAAACCCCTTGTGCAAACTCTTGGAGAAAGATGCCAAGTTCATTTTCAATGAAGATTTTATGAAGGCATTTGAACTACTCAAGTATAAGTTGACTACCACTCCTATTATTACCGCACCAAATTGGAGCTTACCATTTGAGCTCATGTGTAATGCAAGCGATGTGGCGGTTGGTGCGGTATTGGGGCAAGGAATTAATAAGATCTTTCATCCGGTCTACTATGCTAGCAAGACCATGAACGAGGCCCAAGTCAACTATACGGTGACGGAGAAAGAACTCATAGCCATTGTCTTTGCTATGGAGAAGTTCCGCCCGTACCTAATGGGTACAAAGGTTATTGTTCACACCGACCATGCGGCAGTCCGTTATTTAATGAGTAAGAAAGACTCTAAGGCAAGGTTGATGCGGTGGGTGCTTCTATTGCAAGAGTTTGATCTAGAGATTCAAGACCGAAAGGGTAGTAAAAATCAAGTGGCGGACCACTTGTCCCGATTGGAAGAGGAGGGGAGGCCACATGATGTCCTTGAGATTAATGATTTATTTCCTAAAGAACAAATCCTTTCCATTTCTATGACTGGGATGCCATGGTTTGCCGATGTGGCCAACTATCTTGTGAGTGGCATTGTTCCGAATGAGTTCTCCTAAAACCAAAGGAAGAAGCTCAAATGGGACTGCCTGGACTACTATTGGGATGAGCCATATCTCTTCAAAATTTGCACTGATGGTGTTATACGGAGATGTGTTCCAGAAGAAGAGCAATTGGGTATTCTTGAAGCTTGCCATTCTCCGCTCTATGGTGGTCACCATGGTGGGGCGAGAACAACTACAAAGGTCATAAGCTATGGATTCTATTGGCCTACTTTGTACAAAGACGCTAGCGAGCTCGTTAAGCGTTGTGAAAATTTTCAAAGGTCCGGTGGGATCTCCAATAAAAATGAGATGCCTCTCACTGCCATCCTGGAGATTGATATTTTTGATGTTTGGGGAATTGACTTTATGGGTCTGTTTGTGAGCTCATGTGGGAACACCTATATATTGGTAGCTATGGATTATCTGTCCAAATGGGTTGAAGCTGTGGCTTTGCCCAACAATGAAGCTCGGAGTGTGTTAGCTTTCTTGTAGAAGAACATATTCACAAGGTTTGGAATTCCAAGGGCCATCATTAGTGATGGGGGTTCACATTTTTGCAACAAAGCCTTTGACACTTTACTCTCCAAGTATGGTGTCACTCACAAGGTGTCAACCACCTATCACCCCCAGGCAAGTGGACAGGTTAAAGTCTCCAACGGGGAGATCAAGAGTTTTCTATCCAAGACTGTCAATGCAAATCGGACTGATTGGTCAAGGAAACTTGACAATGCTCTTTAGGCCTATAGAACAGCTTACAAGACTCCAATTGGTATGTCTCCGTATCGGGTTTTGTTTGGGAAAGCATGTCACCTTCCGGTGGAATTAGAGTATAAGGCCATGTGGGCATTGAAGAAATTGAACTTTGAGTGGGATGTAGCTGCCAGTCTTCGGGTGGAGCAGTTGAATGAACTTGATGAGTTCCGATTCCATGCTTACTTCAGTTTGTCCTTGTATAAGGACAAGATGAAGTACCTACATGATAAGTATATCCAGAACAAAGAACTTAAAGAAGGTGAACTCGTTCTTTTATTCAACTCTCAGTTACGGATGTTTCCGGGAAAGCTTAAATCAAAGTGGAGTGGTCCTTTTGAAGTGGTACATGTGTCTCCTTTGGGTGCTCTTGATTTGAAAAATAAAAATGGTGAGATTTTTAGAGTCAATGTGCACCGGGTGAAGCATTACCTTGGTAAGGTTGATTATGGCCACGTTGTGGCATTGCTCCATTTCAAATGAATGATGGTAACGTGCATCGTGCCGCGACGTTAAATCAAGCGCTTCTTGGAAGGCAACCCATGTGTTTTTCTTTCTTTTGATTTTCTTTTAGATTAGGCATTATTTTGGACTAACTAGTTGTGAAGTACATGTAGGAATTGGGTGTGCAATGCAGAAAATTGACAAGATAAAAATTGGCCAAGTGGTGAAATTGTGCGGACCAAGCCAGAATTATGCGGCCGCACAAGCCCTTCGCGGCCGCACGATTATATATACGGTCGCACAGCTGGAAGATGGAAAATGCCAACTCTCCAAAGTTTGGCCTAACAAAGTCCCTTAAGGATTCGCGGTCGCGGTCAAAATTTCGTGGACCGCACAGATTGTGCGGCCGCAGCCATTTTTATGCGGACCGCATCACTGAATCAGCTACTGAGTTAGAAAAGGCAAAGAGTACGGAACGCGCCAAAATTGCACGGCCGCACTCAGGTAAGTCGGTGGACCAAAGTATAAATAGGACTTTTTGAGACTATTTACACTTTACACACTCTGACCTCTCAAGCACAGTGCACTCTTTCTTGTGTTCAATCTCATCCCATATTCTTCAATTGTTGATTTCCTACTACATTTCATTACTGGTATGTTAGTTTCAATGAATTAATTTCATATTTTTCTTTTCTTTTCTCTTTGTTGTAGTTTTCCTTTTATCTAGGGTTGAATTCATGCCAAAAATGTGAATTGATGTTTAATACTTGTTTAGAAACATGTGGGTAGTGTTTGAATGCATAATGGGGTCTGGAGTTAGTAGCCGTTATTGTTCAATTGCCACAAATCATGCTTAATTAGTGAAAACTCTAGTATTAATCGTACTTAAGTGCCACTCTGATTTGGATTTCGCGGCCACACACATTTTTGTGCGGTACGCGCTAGGGTAGGCGTCCGCATACAAAATTGTGTGGTCCGCGATACCCTAGGTTGAAAGCACTTGTCATTGCTAAGTTTTCACGGTCGCACTCAATTTTGTGTGGTCCGTGATTGGTTTTCGCGGCCGCACTCAATTTTGTTCGGTCCGCACTATTAAACTTCAAAGACCCAACAAATCGATTATGCGGCCGCACTCAATTTTGTGCGGTCCGCGATGGGTTTTCACGGCCGCACTCAAAAGTATGCAGTCCGCGCTGAGGTAACTTCAGAGAACTAGTAGTCTGAACCTGGGATTTTTGCGGCCGCACTTATTTTTGTGCGGTCCGCGATGGGCACAATCACAACAATTCTCTGACAGATTTCGTTTAGTCGATGAACCTACTACCTCCTCCTCTAGTTCTTCTGATGGCTCAGAGGGAGGTAGTCAGGCATCCGAACCATCTTCCCCACCTGCTACAACACCTGCCCCAACAGCTACCCCAATTATTCTAGATGAGGATGATGAGGTCCCGGATGATGGGAGAGGGGGTTACACGATTATGGGAGGTCTGGCTAGATCAAAGAAGCCGAAGGTGTAGGTTGATAGGTTTGTAAGTGATAAGGCATATGGAAAATGTTGGGAATACTGGCCCCAAATGTCACTCACTCTTGAGCGACAATTCATAACAAAAGACCTAAGCCAGCACAATCCGAATGTCCTAAAGCAATTTACGGAGAGCAAGGGATGGAAATGGTTCAACTGCCGGATGCATGATGCAAATAATTACCTCGTCAAGGAATTTTATGCCAATGTTGCCCATATCAAAAAGGGTACAAAGGTGACGAAGGTCCGGAACTTGAAAATCTGGTTTGATGGCCACGCACTGAACACATATGTAGGGTTTGAGGATATCGAGTCAGTGCAATACTTGGAAAAGCTAGCCTTGGGTGATGCAGTTCGCCCATGGCTAGCTGAGATACTCGCTATTCCCGGGACAACACCTGCATGGCTCACAACAGGAGTTCAAATTTTCAAATCCACCCTTAACTTTGAAGCAAAAGGGTGAGCAACATTCGTGTGCAGCCGTCGTGACCCGTTCTAGCATAAGAATGTCCTTCCACTCACCCGGGCAGTATTGGTAGCTTCCATCATGCCAGGCTAACCTATTATAGTAGGAAACTTGATGTCCTACAACATCTCCAACGTAGTCCAGAAAGAAGAAGGATCGTATTCCTACCCGAACATCCTCACAGAGTATTTCCAAGACTAAGGGGTAGAGCCGAGACATTTTGACGTGGAGGTGAAGGCTAAAAATCCTTTCTCATGGTACCACCTCTAGGGAGCGGACAACCCTAAATTCAAGGGTAAATCCACTACCTCCACTGGCCAGTCTAAAGAGCCAGGGGTAGTGTCCACCAGGTCAGTTGCCGAGCCCTCCACAGTACCGGTACTTCTATCGGAGCAGCTTCCATGCCTCCTCCTTCCTCAGGACCTTCCCTCTCAGTGCCACTGTCACTGCCCACATCTTCTACCTACCATCAGGCTGCACTACGGGTTTCACAGACACTATCCAGTCTCAAAAACTGGATGTAGGCAGCTACCACAAAGTTGACTACCATATCCAGTGCAGTGGCAGCACAATCTTTGGCTTCATCAGAGCTTCAGGTACCTCCATCAGTGGAGGACTCTTTGAAGAAGATTCTGGACAATCCGAAGAAGATTTTGGACGACCAGAAGAAGATCCGGGGGACTCTTGATACACATGGGAGGATTATCAAGGATTTGGGGAAGCAGGTGAAGAAGATGCATAAGACTCAGACATATATGGAGTCGGTGGAGAAGTTGAGCAAAGAGGTTGAGAAGATTGCTTCTGCTAGTGACATTCTACTAGACCTGCTCATGGAAGAGACAGTCCCAGCAGCACATGCAATTGGCCCGAAGCAGATGCAGTAGCCGGCCAGTCTGAGGAGTCGGCTACCACTACACACACTGCTGCGGAGCTGATTCAGATGCTCATCAACCCCGTAGTCCCCCAGTCAGAGGATGCAGAGATCCAGTTAGAGTATACAGAGGGTGCTGAGGACCCGATGGAGACAGAGACCACATAGGGAGTTTTCTCTACTCTTTATCCCTTTTTCTTGTTCTTATTTGTTATGAGCATTGAGGACAATGCTATGTTTTATTTGGGTGGTGGTCCATTTTGATTTGATGATACTTTGTATGTAATAACCATTATACTATTTTTCTTTATCTTTATTTTTATCATTATTGATCTTTAGTTTCACTTTTAGTATGTATATATTCTTACCATTCGACGTATATATTCATTTCCATTATGTATATATTCGCTTTACTTCATTTTGTACATATTCAGTCTACTTTCCGTAGCTTACTTCATAACTTCTTTCGTTGTTTTTCTTTAGTAGCATAGCTTCTTATTTACTTTAGTAGCTTCTTTGTAAGTTGTTAGCTTCTTTTTACATTTTGTTTGAACAATAAACCTTTGGTTTTCTTAATGCCATGCTTCTTTTCAAAGGTGGATGTCGTGTGAACCGGGTGGCTCTTCCCAACGATGGATGGCGTGAAAACCTTCTTAAGGGATTGAGTCCATTTTCTTTATATTTTTATATATATAGTAGTAATGAATAAAAGTGTCTCAAGCAGGCTTCACTTGGTACTAACACATTTACCTTCGACCTTATGGTTAGAAACAAGTTGATTGGCAAAGAATAGCTCTTAGTTGTGACCTTTAGACTTTTGTGTTGACTAAAACAATCATCGAGTGGTTTCTTTGAGCCATTTGTGATTTTCAATCTTAGTTAGGGTTGTTGTGGGCCCTCGACTCTGTTCTCTTTAATAATCCAGCAGCTTGAGAGGTAAGGTATTGAATTGCAAGTCCACGTTTCATGCCAATAAGTTTAGAACTTGCCCTGAATGTTTTTCTAGGCAAAATTATAAGTGTAGCTCAACTTGAGAAATGATTGTAGTCTCTCCTTGATCCAATTGAAAACTTGAAAGCTTCCATAGCTTACCAATGTGACATCCCTAGTCAACCCCTTTGAGCCGAAGCCTTTTTTATTCAATAGCCATGTTACAAGCCTTTATCCGTTTTATAATGACCCTCTCTTGGCACCCGATCTTTCCTTAGCATTCTTGATACAATTGGCGAAAGCATAAGTTTGGGGGAGAGACGAGGAATGTGAAAGTGATAAAAGGTATAAAGATGAAAGGTATTCAAAGTAAGCAATGATGAACGACATGGAGTGAAAGACGAGGTATAAAGTAGAAAGTTGAAGGGATTCAAAGAAAGCAATGATGAAAAGGATGGAGTGATTAGAGGAGAAAAATGATTGACATGAGCAAGAAAGAGTGACATTATGTCTCTCTAGTTCCCCTAAGGAAGAAGAAAATGACTCAAAGAGTCAAGAAAGTATGAGCCAAAAAGAGGAAATGGAGTGCTTAAGGAAAGATGAAACCATCATATGCCGATAAGTCCTACCTTGATCCAAAAGCCTTCATTACATTCCCGCAAAAGCCCTATATGATTTAAGGTTGAGTGAGCTTACATTGGTGGTGATTTACATGAGGGGCAAGCTTATGGTACTTAGAGCCGGACTTCTGACATTTCTTTTGAGAGAGATGAGCGCACTTCTTCACAATCCTTGTTTTGAGTGTTACATTCTAAAGTTAGATTTTGCTCATGGAGAGTAGAGGAGGAGGATTTTGGGTTCCACAATGACCTACGTGATAGAGCGAGCTTCTTTAGTGAATTAAGTTAACTCTTGATGCCCTTGTGTCACATTAGAACTATGGTACTCAAAAGGTCAAAACATGGTGTTGTTGATAACTCATTTGTGTTGAGGGTAATTGTTAGTCCCAATTGATGCATGATTGATTCACCTTAGGCCAGCTGAAATATCTTTTTTTCTAGTGGAGGTGGGAACTACCTTATTTGATTGAGGACAAGCAAAAGCTTAAGCTTGGGGGAGTTGATAAGTAGGGATTTTAACCTATTATTTGCACTTATTTACTTGTGTTTTAGGCGAAAAATGCTTGGAGGTATTTCCGAAAACTAATGAAATATGCTTGCTTGCAGGAATTATTCAAAATGAACCAAAGG